TTAAAGTCTTTTAAAATAAATTGAGTGTTTATGTTTTTTTTTTCATGAATGTGTATTGATGTTGATTTTTTAAACCTCTTTTCGGGCAAATACGTTGTTTAATTCGATCTTGTGTGATGTTGTTTCTTTAATTATATTGTTGGAGAAAATGTTTTTTTTTATTTAAATTATTTAAATTTTATTGCAAGCTGATTTTGTGTCTTTTAATGAACTGAGTTCATAGTTTTTTATATGCGTGGGACCTAATTTTTAAGAACGCGCTGCGCACACAAAAAAACTCTATTCTTTGAAATTTATGAATCCGGGTCTTTTATTGTGCTAGCTTATCTCTTAATTTCTTGTGAATTATGGGGGGGGGGTTTAGTTTTGCGGAAAATACACTAGCACAGTTTCTTTTGACCGGTATTTTATATTTTGGTATCCCTCAAAGACCAAAGGAACCTTGCCTCCGTGAAAGTACCTTATTACACCAATAGCAAAAAATACTTCCAATCTTATTTAGCGTATATGGCTTTCCCCCGTCCGCCACCACGCGGCACACGTTTGGGTTCTTTATGGTGCTCAACCGCCGCATTTTTATTTTACCTCTGAACTTAAGTCGGGGCGAATGTTCTACTGCTTTTGTTTTGCGGAACAACTTAGCAGCGTTTTATTTGACATGGGGGTGGGGTGGGGAAACAGCACGACGCACGTACTTGCAATGCCAGTCCCTGATCTCGCCGGCGCAGGGAAGGCAATGTAAACTGACGGGCGGTGTGTGCACTTAACGCGTCTTTATATATTTTTTTTCAACAAACCACTTATTCTGTGAGGCCTTCGTCGGTACTGGATAGGAGGTCAATAGGGATGTTTGTATTGGGATCCTGTAGCAAATTCATTTGTCACTTACTAATTGCCATACTCAAATAATTTACAAAAGGAATTTATGATCTGATTTACGCCACTAACTCTTCAGGTTTAATGCATATGACAGAAATTCATCCGACGATATTGTCATCCCGTTTTCTCCGCTACTGCTTTCCTTCAAACTTTACACATATTGTGGAAAGGTATTGTGGAAAAGGTACAATTGGTGCGCTTTTCCATTTTTTTATAAAAAATACGACCGTCCCTGGTGTGACCAGAACCTCACTACTATGTTGGTTGTTGGGGTAGAACTTCACCGTAATCCTGCGAAGTAGTGTTTTCTAGATAGCAGAGTTTTCTCTATGGGTGTGCTAATTTATATTTCCTAAAAGGTGCTGAGTTTGCCTAAAGCCTGAAATTTACTCAGTTATCCATAGTCCAGGATAAACTCTGTATTCTTTGCTCATATTTTTATATTTTTCATGGTTAGGTATCCAGCTTAGTCATAGATACAGAAGTTCTGAAGTCATGTGTCTGATACAAGCGTTTCCTACCCTATCTCACCCCAACTGATCATTCACAGTACTTTTCTTTACACTTGCATAATCTTTATAATAGTGTTCACACTCAAGTCTACCTTTTTAGGTTCATATTGGCCTTTTTAGCGAAAATGGACGTCCCTTGTGAAGATTACGATGTCAGCATTATGATCAAGGCGATCACTGAGGTGCAGGCACTTATTAAATTTGAACAGTTCCAAACATTCTCTGAGCTTGATGTTAAAATCGGCAAAACCTTGAAGAAATACGAACCTTTTGGTGATGGTTTTGAGCGTTTCCACGTTTTTCTCACCAAAGATGTCGCCAATGTTAACGATTTGACTAAAAGTTTAGGCGATATGAATGAACGTTGCCAATCAAAACTTCGTGATTGTGAGTGCAGCCAAAAGGATCAAATAAATGACATGCTTCCGTTCGTTCGCAATACTTCTAAAATCCTTGTTCATGGATCTGGTAATCTTCTTGCCTTGGCTATTGCATGTGCTATACAAGAGCATGAGGGTGTTCACTTCTTCATTTGTGAGGGGCGCCCAGGTCGTGAAGGATGTCCAAACGGTTCCGGCGACGCTTTAATTGAAAAGGTTGCCTTGACGTCAGAGGGCATACGTCTCAGAGATAAGTTACCTCTATATTGCACAATTATACCAGATAGTGGTGTGGGCTCTATTATGGGTATTGTGGACTTTGTTATCACAGGTGCATACTGTGTGACAAAGCATGGAGGATTAGTTCATTCCACAGGTTCTATGCAATTAGCAACTGTAGCATTTTCGATGAATGTTCCATTTTACGTACTATGTGAGACATTTAAATTTGCACACATTTTTCCACTCAGTACCGAGGATCTTAAGCAGCCTGACAGCTCAGGAGTTGTGCCGCTGGTTGAATTTGTCCCACCCACCATGATTACCTTGATTTTCTCTGAAAAAGGCATCATGCCACCTTCAGCAGTAGCAGATGAAATGTTTCGCTTTCATACAGCACCTTTTGCTCCTTGGAAGCATAAGCAACGCAACGAGTTTTCCTTTTAAATGCATTAACAAATTGTTAGAATGTTATTGCCATTTGAGCATAATCAAGTGTATGATTGAAAGTATTTTAAATTATTCTGTGTTATTTCTAGTTGTAGCCCTTTTGTTTTTACTTATTTTATCTTTGAGCATTTTTACTAAGCGAATCTGTTTATTATTTGTATTACCCTTATTATCTATTAATTTATCCATTTGAAGAGCTCATAGATGCCTTGCAATTGCCGCCAGGAAGCTGGTTCTCATGATCACTTGGGTGATGGCTACTTGAGTGATGGTCTATTTGGCTTCGGTACACCATTGAACGGATCTATCGATTTACCGTTTATTCAAATATGGAATGCACGTAGTTCTTCAGAAGAGGTGAGAAGAGTCTTTGATCCAGAAGCTCAAGATAACAATATTCCCTTATGTAGTGACCAAGATCCCGAGCTGTTGATATTTTTACCTCTTTCATCAATTTGTAAAATTAAAGGGATCTCTATCCTGGGTCCAATGAGTGATTTTGCCCCTTCACAGGTAAAGATATTTACAAACCCTGCTGAGGTTCTTGGCTTTGACTCAGTACGTCGTCTTAAACCACATGAAGAAATTCTGCTGGCTCAAGTTAGTGGTGAGGATAGAGTGGTATATCGACTAAATGCCACTAAGTTTGCTACTGTGAGCTCATTAGCTTTATACTTCGAACACAGTTTTGGTGATGAGGAGACACACTTATTACGTGTAGATCTTTTTGGAGAGAATTCTGGAAGACCCTCGACTCAACAAGTCGCTAAGAACGTCGTTTACGAATCTCGTGCAAATCCTGCGGATCATCCTGTACTCGAAACACAAAATTTGTTTTTTACTTCATCAGCATGAAACATTGATTTTTTTTTTTAAATATACAATCTTATAGAAACTAAAAGGGATAAATGGAGAATGGCGACGGCATGATAAGATTTTCCGCCTAGATATTTGATTATACACTCCTACAATGCTAATGGAGTAAAAAGAAGACTCATACTTCAAAACAACTTACAATAGTTCTTCATTTACGGAACTACAGGTTAATTTCTTTTCTTTGAAGTCAAGATCCAAGAGCTAAATTAAATTAATTTAAGAAATATTGACAAACATTAAAGTTTAAAAATATGCTCAAGAGGCCTGATCGTACTTTATTACAGGATCCTTCTTATCCACATGATCTAACGATTCCATTGTCAGAAAATGGTCCGACTCAAAGGACGCGAGAATTGTTTCAAGTTGAACCAGATGTCATTGATCCCCAACTCAGCGAGGCGGTTTCGCTTGGGACCACAATCCTCGCAGTTTCTTATAAGGGTGGTGTCGTGTTGGCTGCAGATTCCCGTACCTCAAGTGGGTCGTATGTAGTTAATCGTACCTCTAACAAGCTTACAAAACTATCGAAGTATATATACTGCTGCCGAAGTGGTTCCGCCGCTGATACACAAGCACTTGCTGAGCGTGTATCTAATTACTTAGAGTCTTACCAAACAGAAATTGAAAGAGAGGTAAATGTAACTACAGTTGCAAATATCTTCCATAAAATGTGTTACATGAACAGGTGGCGTATTTCAGCAGGTATTATTGTGGCTGGATACGATCCCATTAACGGTGGATCAGTTTACAGCATCCCTTCAGGAGGTTCATGTGTTAAGCTAGATTATGCCCTTGGTGGGAGTGGCTCCATTTTCTTGTACTCGTTCTTTGATGCAAATTATAAACCAGGGATGAGTAAAGAGGAGTGCTTAAAGTTCTGCCAACGAGCTGTTGCTCACGCTTATAGCCGTGACGGCTCAAGTGGTGGTCTTATTCGTACAATTGTCTTGCACTCAGGTGAACCAGAGGATATAACCATTCCCTGGAACCTCACCCCATATTGCATGGAAAAGGATCCTAAATATGAGAACCAAGCTCCCCAAAATACTCTTTACAGCAGCAGCGCCAAATTATCAGAAAATCAATTAACAACTGCTAAAGTTTAAGGAACGTGCTCTTGTATTCCATTGAGCTGGAAGGTTCTGACGGCGTTGTCTGTCCTTTAAGAGGAAAAGTTTTTGGGAACACAAATGGTGTTTATATATATACATATATATTGCATGTGCAAATGCATTTTCTAACATTGAGGGCAGGATATTAGTATTTTTTTTATTTTGAATCATAATAAAGAATATTCTTGCATGAGCGACCAGCAGCTGTGTGAATGGGGTATTGTGTGGAGGACTTATAGAGAGAAGGACTAAAGTTATCAATTTTTTCTAGGCGCATTATGTTCAGAAAGCTTAAGAAATCGTTAGTGTCATGCGTCGTCAATGAATCTAAATTTTTGTTTCGTTCCACTTATTATTATTTTTGAACCGTGTTGTTTTGTTGATTTATTTTTCTCTCCTTTTCTTTATTAACTAAGGGACGAAGTAGAAATAGTCGTATCCACTTACTAGACTTAGGGTTGTTGTATTACTAAATTTGTTTTGATGAAAACCCATGCTTTCCGCAAAGGATTGGCGTTCTTATACACATCGCCCACGATAAAAAGTTACACAGATGCTTGCGAGGCTCCTGTCGCGATGTGGAACGGTGCAATTCCTTTGAAGCAAACACTAGTCAAGAAAAATGGAAATTTTGTGAGTGTTGTGAAAAAAACATATTCACACCCGCCGGAAATTTCACCTACACATTTGAACTTCAATGATATTGATTCAATGTATTGTATCGGCAATGACGAGTTGATTCGGTACTTTCCAGAAGGTCTTGGGGGAAAAGTTATGCAGCTAATGCCACCAGGCCACCCCCGTGGCTTCTTATATAGGAAAGAGAGTCATCTTTTGAATATATTTATTCATAAGCTCACATTCCGGGAAACTAAGTGGAGTGTTGCTAAGACTTTGAGTGCTGGAAGGCCGGGCTTCATTCTGGACGGTCCCACAGGATGCGGCAAAAGTGCTTTGATTTGCCAAGCGGTACATTTCGCGCGGTCACGCGATATTCTCACACTGTACGTGCCAAATGCCAAGGTGTGGTCCCATGGCGAATGGTGTTGGCCCAGCGTGATTTTGCCAGGTTTTTTTGATGCACCTGACGCTTCACGGGAGTTTCTTAAAAGTTTTTCTATTTCTAATCGTAGCATTTTGGAGAATTGGTTGCTCAGATGCACACCGAGTGATCTTCCCATAGACCAAGGTGAAACATCACCTAAAACTCTTCTACAGCTCTGTGAGTGGGGTCACCAGGCAGTCGCTCCAGCTTCCATAGATCGACAAAGTGTTTGTATGAAGTTTCTCTTTGATGAGCTAAGTGCAGAAAAAGAGAAGCCAATTTTGATCGTTGTAGATGGGTGGAACCTTTTCTCACACAACACGCACTTTCGATACCCACATTCAGGCTTCTTACATACCCTGACGTCTTTGGACAATAAAAGCACAGACGTGGACCTATATCCTCAAGAGTTGCCTTATATCCCTTCATCGCGTCTCAGCTTTGTGCGTGGTCTCAACAAGTTTATCTTGTCACACGACGAGCCCAATAAATTTTTCATCACATGTACTACACGGGATTTTAAACCCTTTGATGGTATTAGTGGGTATCCAGATGTTGAGAACGATCGATTCAAAAATAGTTTAGATGAGTACGCGCCATATTACCCAGAGAAAGACTCCTTTTTCTATCCCATAAAAATAGGAAACTTTACCGAGTATGAATATCGTGCTTTTCTTCGGTTCGTAATTAATTCTGGCGAGTTGTCTGGGCTTGGGTGGGGTCCCATGTGGCATTATTCTAGTGATTTTGAGAGAAAACTTTACAAAATAGGCTTTTTGTCTGACCGCAATCCACAACGCGTCATTGACCATTACCACCAAGAGATGGTGTGGCGTTATGAGTATAAACGGGCTCGCCAGAAGCAGTTTTTGCTAACAAAACGCCATGCTAACTTTGTGTCTCAAGGACATGCTCCTAACTCGAGTGCGAAGCCGTAATTGGATAGTTCGAAGATGCTATTGAATTGATCGTGCGAAGTTGAAATTAATAGCATTCCTATATAACCGGTCAAATTTGCGGTGCACACGATGCCGCACTTTGTTTTGCTGAAACAAATGAGCTGAAAAAAAAATTAGGAATTTAAACTCCCTTTCTACATTTTTCTACATGTTTTTCGATTTCTTACTACATTCCATATCATGTACATTATTGATTTATATTCTAGTTGTCTTCAGTAGTATGATGACTAGAAAGGGGAGAAAACAGCAGCTACCAATTCACATAAATTTCGATGGCTTGAAACGGTTCTACGATGCATTACCACTTCCAATGCATAAGAGGACAGCTATACCATCATACTTCGTAGGTGCATGTAGTCGGCGAGACATGCTTTCAAGCTATCATATCATAGGCACACCGCGGGAACAGATGGTTTTTGATGCCATGCATACGTACACGCCAACAACTTGCACCCAGAGGGTTTGTGATATGTTCTTAGAGGTGTCTGAGCTTGTTTCAGTGTATTATGACACATTGGATTATTTAAATACGTTGCCAGAGTTGCCCTAGTGACGAGCGATGTGCTAAAATTTAGAAAATCCCATTATACGCAACTGTCAACTTGGCAAAATAGTAGTAACTCATCGATTTAAGACTAATGCAAAAGATACCTTCGCACGTATGAAAAAAAAAGAACCACAACATTTCGTGTCATCTTACTCTTTACTTTCTTTTGCCTCTTTCTTGACCATTATTGTTATTGTTTTTTCATCAGTCGGAAGCTAAACTTCGTTGTATTGCTTTGTGTTATAGTTACGGGGCCGAAATGGAAAAAATTGTGGATGCGGCGAAGGCGATTCGTAGTGGTAAAAATATCCCGATCGAGACTGCTACCAAGGCTTTCCGCTGTGCAGGTGTTGTTTGCGCCAAACATCCACTTATGGTGAGGGTAACTGGAAACACTATTGTGGTCGGTCCTATACGGGGTCACGCGCCAGATTTTGCGAACTATATACTTACCACAATTTTTTTCAATGATAACGTTGAGAATATTGTACTGCTAGGCAATTATATTGATGGTGCTCACCAATCCATAGAAGTGTTGTACCTGGTTGCTCTCCTTGTTTCTTATTCAGGCAAGAACGTAGTGCCTCTCTTAGGAAAGCACGAGCTGCTGTACCCGACGCAGCCTAAATTTTTTGGATCTCTGCAAAATGAACTTATTCTACGCTCAATTCACTCCAAAGTTAATGTGGAAATATACGAGGAGGAGATACGGAGTTTTTTTTCTACCTTACCATTTGTTTGCGTGATTGATGAGCTTTTCTTCTGTGCTGCTGGTGGGCCTGCTTCAGGCTTTCGTTTACTTTCTCAAATTGAAGCGGAGACCTCAAGAGAGGCACTTTGGGAGTTTGTCATGAATAAGCGAATGAGCGAACACGAGGAAATGGTCCTGGGGAAGAATGTCTTTGTCGCCTCACATGACGACCAGTCATTTTTCTTTACCTTCAACGCGGCCTGCAACTTTATTAGTCGTAATAATCTGGCGACACTGATTGTGGGCATGGAGTACCATACCCACTGTCCTGACCGAAATGACTTCACAAGATCGAATCCCAACGAAGAATCAATTTATTTCCCAGGGTTTGTTATTGATAAAATCCACCTTGAAACACGAATTCCAGCCGTTATATCTATCTTCTCTGCGCCTTACTTCTGTGGTAATAATCGCAACAACGCATGTATTTTAGAGATCCTAAACAAGAGCCTGAGGATACGAGAGCTTAAGGTGTACAGCGGACGACCTCTCATCATGCCTGGAAACCAGAATCACGCCTTTTCTTGGGCACAACCGATGCTTGAGAATGCTGTGGCGAAAGTAGCACATGAATTGATTTTCGGTCCAATTTTTCAGCAACCGCTCTCCAAGGAGGATAATGATTATAGGAGCCATGAGAGGCACGCTAGAGCGAAGATGAAGCGCATGTGTCAACTCCTAAAATTATTTAATTTACCGCTCCCTAAATTTCCTTGGAATTAACACACTGAATACCTCAAAAATTTATCTACCTAGGTATCACTCGTTTAGTTCTCTTAATGTGACTCTCATTTAATTATCAACTTTTTTTTACCATCGCTTGCAGGTGAATTGTAAAATCAACCAAAAATTACCGTGTTACATTCCTCGATAGGAATAGTAGTTGTACTTCTATTGGAATAAAATATTCATCTTACATGTTTTTTATGTAGTGCATTACTCACCGAAAGGCTATCCACATTACTTCAAAGAGTATTTTTGCTAAGTACCACCACAACTAAATATTGAAAATGTCTCGACTTGCTTCGCATTACAGCAAATGTAAGACAGCATTTCTAACTGTGGACTTACAGCTTGCTTTCATGAATCGAATCTCCAACTTTTCCAACTGTGTCTTCGTGTCGAATCGCATGGCAAGTTTCCATGCGATTCTTCCGCAGCAGACAAAGTTCATCGCAACGGAACAGTACCCTAAAGGGTTGGGGCACAGTGTAAATGAGTTAATAATTCCTCAAGATGGGTACGTTGTTGAAAAAAGTAAGTTTTCTTGCATCGTTCCCGATGTGGCAAAGCATATCACTGATGTTGATACGGTAACTGTGCTTGGAATCGAGGGCCACGTTTGTGTCCTACAGACAGTTTCTGACTTATTGGATTTGAAGAAGCGTGTTTTTGTTCTCGTTGATGGAGTTGGAAGCCAGAAAGAGATGGATCTCAAGATGGCCTTAGATTTAATGCGAACATGGGGACCGAATTGTGTTCTCACCACGTCTGAATCTTTTATTCTTCAGATGATCAAGGATGCTTCCGATGAGGAATTTAAAAAAGTGTCCAAGTTGCTGAGGGACCCACACCCAGTTCCAATCTAATATCTTTTTTGTTTTATCTCAAGTATGGTATGCGCAAAATGATAAATTAATGGAAAATTATTTCAAGTATCGAATAGGTTACTTATGCTTGGTACACATGGTAGATCTGAATACCATGTAGAAGAAAATTTGAAATTATTAATCTTTACCTTCCATGAAAGTGAAAATTATAGTATGTTCGTCTTAGAAATATTAATCGTGAATATGTCTATCTGACTTTTATTTTCGTTTTTAGAGTAAAGTTTATAAAAAAACATTTTTTTGTTTTAATACTTTAGGTACTGCATTCGATAACAATGTAGATTATTGAGTAAACTCAGAAAGGACTCATTAAGTATTAGGCTCATGGTACTTTTTAAATATTTTTATTCCTTTTTTTCGTCTAATCCCCTTATACTTCAAAAAAACACCCACAAAAGTTAGATATATTTTTTATCACTATATATGAGCTAGGAGTCTTCTTATTCATTGTATTTAGACATAAATGAGCGAATGAACAATTTTGAGACGAATTTACTACCATATTATACATGGCACAAGTACTGCACCTGCTCAAAGGACAAAAAGCTTACTTCAACGGCAAAGTCCAATAAGCGAAGGTGGGCAGTCGGGGCCTCTTCACGAAAAATTGGGCAAAAACATGTGGAATCTAATGATGAAATAGCCACTACGACTGAAGCAACTGAGAAATCAGAGTGCGTTGTGTATCCGTCAAAAGTTTATTCGATTGATGTACTTGAAAAGCAACTCCTCGAACGAAAAAGAAATGCGCGTCAGAATAGATATTCATTAGGAGGAAATGCCTTGATTAGTGCTTTTAGTAAGATTGGTAATACCCATGATACGCTCAAAGATGCAACACGAGAAAAGATCCTAGATGAGTTGCGTCTCTGCAAAGTGCACCAAGAGGAGCGAAGACGAGATGAGCTGCTTAGAGGGTTACAATATCGCATGGGGCGAGGAGTGCAGGAGTCTTGGCATTGCGCTGATAGAACACAGAATCACGAGAAGGCACGATGTAAGTATAAAGATACACGCCTTAATACAAGTGCTGACACCGAAAGCAATACTGAGAGCGACAGATACTGTTGTGTAGAAGAAGACGAGCAAGTTTCGCGATTTTCGGATCCAATGAGCTTTTTACCCTCCACGGGTGAGGGATATGCTGCTGTTGCAATGCGGAGGCAAAATACATGTCGGCTCATGGAAGGCGATTTGTGGCTTGCAGCAGGCACACGGGAACATTGTGCCCGTGTGTCTGCACTGAAAAGCGAGAATATTCGCATGATTAACAAAATACCAAAGGATGAACTAAGTGAAAGGATCGATGTATGCTATGGATCCTTGGGTAGGTCCGTGAAGGAGGCGAATGAACACCAAGATGGTATGGAGCTGTGCAAGCAGGCGGTCATGGTCTGCGGTCGTGTTCTCGATTCTGGTGAAGATATCAAGCAAAAGAAGCTAGCTTTACGGCATAACTTGATGAGATCAAAAAAATAATTGCCTTTTAAACGAGGAGAGACACCGAAAGATAGTTGCAAAGCAAGAGAGGGAGCAGTTTATGATTCACAAAGTTCTTCAAGAGGAACTTTTTTCACTGTTGAAAGGAAGTGAAGTGTGTTGACCAGCTTCGTCGATGTTCCGAGTTGGAGGAAGAAAGCGAGCAAGCAATGGAGAACAGGGCGGCGCGTCCTGTATTTGGGAGATACACTGATCACAACACTTTCCTTCTTATGTCTGAGGGGGAGCGTCAGAGTGAAAATATAAAAGAAGCACGTTGTGATCTTTCATCTAAAGTACGAGCTCAGGTTAGGTTTCAAGAGCGAACCCGTATAGAAGCCGAGCGACGAGAACGCAAAAGGAGACGAAGAGCTATTGGACAAGGGTGATGGAGTAAAGAGTGGAGGGTCTAAGCAGTGCAAAATGCACATGCTCATTGTAAAAAACGTGTTTCCCTACTTTTTGAAGCATTAGGTCGATGCAAAAGACGGCGATTTGCTGTGTGCGGCTATCCACTTCTTATTCTGTGTCGACCCTTGTGAGTCATATTTTTTTATCATTGATTGGTGACAAGCGCGCCCATGTGCACATTTGCCTTCGATTTCAGCCGACTTAGCCGTTATGTGGGTCTCTTTTAGTATTGTTATTCTTAGTTTATATTATATTTTGTTTATTTCTGCAGTTCACAATGGCTTCATTGTTATCATTTTCCCCATTTTTTTATTTGGTGGATCTTTTAATAAATTAAAATTATGCCTACATTTTTTATCCCAAACTTCATTCCCGTGACTTTCTATTTATTTGATGGTTTCACTCAATTTAGAGTATTGGTGCTATTGACGTGCCTTCTGCTTCCCACAAAAATTGCCTCATCCATTTTTTAGTTATCCTTGTATGTTAAGGTACATGTCTTATTTAGCTCAAGACAAATCACAAAATACTCCCTACGACGAAGAGTATACAGAGGAAATTGAATATATCTTGCTACGGATGCAAAATATTGCTCTCTGGGGACCATTATACTCTCCAAGCCCTAACCCGAGTTCGCAATCGCTATTTCAAGTGCTTAGAGAATCCATAGTACTTTCTACAATTGTTTTCGTGTGTTACTTGGGGCTTGATAAGTCAATTGCATTTGTTTATCGCTGAAGGGATGCTAGGGAGGTTTATACTTCTAGTGGGCAGTCAGAAATGCATTCATAAATTACTTATTTTTCCATTCTCATTTATTCTGCTATTAAACAAATTTCAACTAAAATTGCTGTCGAGAAACCAGGATAATAGAACCGAGCGTGTTTTTCTCATGGAATATGCCTTTTTGTATGCGATTGCATGTTTTGAATTTTTTTCTTAGTTGGAAGGGATTGTTACTCACTTTTCATGGAGCTTCATTTTCTTTTTTATTTATTTTCCAATTATCAAAGTAGATCTTAGATAAAATCATTATTTTCCGCCTGTTTTTGTCTACAATTTGGCAAACACCTTTTTTTTTTGTACTCGGGGCGGTCGTGTACTTTTTTTTGTACCACAACCACTTTATCTGTCTGAGACCCGTGTTGTAAGGGGTGAAAAACGGAAACAGCGGGGAAAACACAACTACGACCACTACAGCAAACAACAGGACAAAACAGTGCAGGACCTTTCTCTCTATCACACACTGGGGCTGTGTCAACTGTCATGCACTTGATGCTTCCCTACACGACAAACCCCACGCAGATGCGGGCATGCGAGCGGATACGACTGCTCAACCCGAACGCCACCAGCGCGACGGGCCCGAACGTCGCGGTGCGCGAGCGGAGGCCGGTGTGCGGCGGGGTCCTGCACGGCTGGGACGCGGGCGCCGCGCGGGCCCTTCTGGAGCCGACGGGCCCCGTCCAGACCTGGGACCTCGCCTGGACGGATGAGGAGGCGGACTGGGAGGCGCGCGTCCGCCGCTGCACCTGCCCGGAGGAAGTCGAGGAGCTGTTGCCCGCGAAATGGATCGGCTACCGTGTGGAGGGAGACGTGGATGGGGCGCTTGCGCGGGTGTGTAGGCTGTGCACGGCATTGGTGCAGCGCTTCGTGGCGCTCTCGACGGGGAACAACGCGAACGCGTCCACAGCAAAGTGGCGACAGCGCCAGGCACTTTATGATCGGCTGGGAGCTGTGATGGAGTTGCTCGAGGCTTCTATTGGCGGTGCCATCCCAATTCTGAAGCTGCAAGACACAGAGTTCATTCGGCAGTGCTGGGAGCAGCTGCAAGATGAGGAGAAAATGGAAGTTATGTCAGCCTTGGGTACTTCAGATGATGAATAGATTACATCTACTCAATAGATTTACTGAAATTCTAGACATTATGGCGAGGGTTTCTTCTCGTGGATGCTATAGAATGTTAGAGAACTCTGAATAACCGGGAGGTGAGCATTCGTTAAAAAAATGCGTAAGAGTGTAAGTGAATGTGCTGCATCAATGAAGGTTTCGCAGATTGCAAAAAAGACCTTTCCGCCTTTTTTCATTGATTTTTCTTTTTAATGCTGCGTTGTACACAGGAAGCCTAATAGTATGATGAGGGGGACATCCATTCGATTGCTCTCGTTTGCGCAGCTCTTTTGTGGCGAAGATGTCACGAATTTGATGCATAACGAGGTACAATGCCAGCAGGTTACTGACACCTTCCGGCGTCTATTTCCCAATGCCCCGCTGCCAATACCTGTCACGACTGCTTATAGCGCATCTTGTGTAAAAAGAAAAAAGTACCGCGATGCGGTAGCGACCATCGCAGCGTACTCTCAGCCGCAAAAACTCATTCAGGAGCTCAAAGAATATTTTCATGATCACAAGGATGAGTTTTCTGGGGAGGACATCAAGGCAATATTGGCCCTATTTCGAGACGCACAATTTCCTGGGGTAATAGTTTTCTTGAACATCTTGGCAGACTACTGTATCTTGGGTTCGAGTTGCTCAGAGCTGTTCAAGAGCAAGGTCCGACAGATGATTCTTAGCTATATTCGTTTTGTACCCCGTTCCGCACCTATGTTGTTGAAATCGTTGTGCATGTTGAGCTCTCCCAGTGCCAGCGATTGTGGGGATATTATGTCAGTGGTGAGAATAGCCATGCAAGGGGGCTTTATCGACCCCACAGATTTTGCCGTTATTCTGGATGTCTTCCTAGAGCGCGGTGATTACGCCAAAATTGCCGCGCAGTGGCGGTGGATGCGGCATACGTCAGCGCGATGGAACCAGCGGACTGTCTCAGCGGTTATTTGTGCATTCTCGAGTCTTAAACAAATCGATGAAGCTATCGTGTGTATTCAATGCCTGGCAGAAGTCAACAAGGATCCTTCGATTGAAGCACAATGTACGTTTTTACATTTCTTAGGTGATCGCATCCCGCCGCTTGCACATTATGCCGAGCAACTGATGCGCCATTGGCATCCTGAGCGGCGCTTACTGTGGACTAGTCGAAGCCAGAGTGTTGGTATAGAGTGTATTTTTGCCTTTTTCCATGCTAAGATGCCACAGGAGGTTTTTTCCTTGCTAGATGAAGCATTCAATTGTCTTAAGGGTACACCTGAGTCCTTGGAAAGCTTTCTTAAACACAGGGGTATGCATATTCTCATGAACTATTACGCCTTAGAGAGGGATAGACATCCTTCAATAGATGCCCTTTTCTTTGATTGTGTGAAATGCCTTCCTGATTTGGCGGACCATCCACTTGTCATGGCTGCTTTTCTTATCATCGGAGTAAGGCAAGGTCGACTTTCAGAGTCATATGAGGCCATTGCCTGTGCTTGCCCGATTTCGGACGATGGATTTGATCAGTTTGTACGCTTTTTAGTTTGTTCTCTTCAAAAAAAATATATTCATGATTTGTTAGGCATTCTTAGGGAGGTTGCCCAGCGAATGCAGAAGGAACTTCCCTCCGATATCGAAGCTTGGCTTGTGCTTTTTGATTCACGTTAGAGCAAACTCACACAGCTTCGCAATGGGCACGTTTGTGCGAACCACGAATCCAGCTTAAACTCACCATGCTTGCAAGTGGTGGCTCGAGGAACTGCCGCCGCATTGCTTTTTTCACCGCTGTAGCTTCGCTTCATTACGCCATGTACGCCTTATATACGTAAACCAAGGGGAACAAGTAGCCTGACTCTGGTGAGTAGGGTGTTTAAGTGGAATGATTTTCCATGTGAGACCAAATTTATATTCGGTTGCACCACATGGACGTGCATGTGTGGACAGAATTGCCTTGGTCAGACATTTTCGTCGTACCTACTTCAAACTCATTTCGTGATGACGTTCTTCAGGTTTTCTCAGTGCTCCTTTTTCTATCAGAGAACCGAGATAACGGAACTGGATTCCTTTTAGTACTCTAGCTGGAGGACGTGCTCGCACTGAGGTTGACGGGGTTTGATGGTGGGCGAACTTCTCGAGTCGTTTAGAGACAGGAGTAGGGGGGAGGTAGCGGGGTTTCAATAGGTCGATCAGCGAAACGAAGCGAAGAGAGACGTAGGGGCGACTGCAAATTATTCCAAACTGAATCCACATATTCAAGTGTTTGGCGGTTCCCCATCAGCAATATACACATATATATGCATGTCTATATTCGTATGCACCCTTCTCTTGCTAGTATCTTTCAGGGGATTCATCATGTCTCGCTTATCTACTTTCGTTTCGTTAATTTTATTATGTGGTTTCTATTTGGAAAGGTAATAAACATTTTTTACTACAATTTCAATAATCGTAGTCATGAAAATTGATGCAACAGGGCACCTTATATTCAATTTTGAAAACCTCTTACTTGCTTTCTTGGAGGATTTGTATTGTTGATAATTCAACATGGAAAAAGGAAGAATATATTGAAGTATGCAAAAAACATTATTCAATTGCCTCTATCGAACAGCACAATAATCAGATAATACAAAGACGTTAGAATTATTTAGGAACACGTGTGAAAGTGGCCGTTTTGAAATGGACGCGATTCCTAATGCACCTCCTTTGGAATTGTTACGCAAGTTGCAATTGTTCCGAACTACCTTAGTAAATTTCTTGTCGTGGAGAAATTTTTCAGATGTCGTTGCGGGTTGCTATGTGCGCGTGTTGCTGGAGATGCGCAATGAGGGTACACGGCAGGATAACAACGACCACTACTATGTTGCTTGTGTTAGAGGTGTCCAACAAGGGCCGACATACTCTGGCTTTGCGGCGGATGGAACCTCTACGGAGATACACATTGTTATAGACCTACCACCGTGCTTTAAGTCGACTCAAAATGGTAACGTTGTGCAGCTCAACTCCATTTCCAACTCCCCCTTCCGTCAGACCGAGTATCAGCAATGGGTTCAGATGATCGAAGCATTTGATCATCCCTTCCCTAGTCTTCCACAGCTACACTTCCGTTTGGGCATGCTGGAGGAGCAGAAGCAGCAGTCTCTTCTTTCTGAGAATCGAAGACGGCGCAGGGATGAGAGTCCGCAGGAGGCTTCCGAAAGAGAGGCGCGCATGAAGCAGCTCAGCGTTGAATTGAGGGCAGAGATTTTATCTACTCACTTGAGCCTTCCTCGGATTGACGAACTGAGGACGAAAAATATAGAGGACTTGCAGGAGATTGAGCGAGAGATGCTCGATCTCATCTCCATGGTCAGGGTGGCTATTAATGAGCGGTCCAAGTGTATGGTGTGTCGTAATCGAGTTTGCACAGAGGTTTGTTATCCTTGCAAGCACCAAGTTCTCTGTAAAGACTGTGCTGATAAGGTCTACGAAAAGTGTCCAGTTCCCGGGTGCATTACACCGGTAACATTCATCTTTGAGCCATACACGTCATGATTCCTACAACGGAGCTTCAGAGAAAAAATAAATAAAGGCATTGTGCTGTCCCTTTGCGTTAATCACAAAAAAAAATCATGCAAGTGTATATAGGAGAATTTTTTTATTTGTCTTTGACACAAACGTTTTGTATTTATTTCTATTTAGTATCTCTTATCAATTTTTACACTTTTCTTTAACATCTCGCTCCTTTTTAATTTTACTCATTTATGAATATTACGGACAATTCATCAGTACTATTTCATTCTTTTTTTCAGTCTTTTCCTTTATATTGCTACAACTGGATCTTTTCGAAGCTAAAAACATGACCTTCTCTTGATTAATAGAGAAATTTTTATCGTCTATGCCTCATTTTTTTTTCTGTATTTTTTTTTCGTGTTTCTTCAATTTTTATTTCTTATTAGTATTGAAATTTTAATACACGAATTTAGGAACATGTCCTTCTCAACATTTGTTGCAGTTTGATTGCTTCCAGTGATGCGTGTGAACCCGTCGGAAGATTGACCCTCTACGGTAGCTTTGGCATCTATCGAATTACCTCATATAACGACGAGGTCCTGATTTCAATGTGAAAAATTATCCGGTCTCTTTCATGCATTGGGAAGTTGTAGTATGTGCGTCAGACTCTTCTAAAGCAACGCCTGTTTAGTAGAAACCATTATCATATCGGATCCATTGGACGAGAGGCTGGTACCTGTCTGTGATGAGTGCGCCAACGCCATTTATCTCATGGAGCCTTCAATGTGTGTGTAAATCGATGAAATTTTATCGAGTGTTTTCTCAATAAACAAACACAAATATCTAATGAGTTCATAAATTTGACTAAATGCCACAAAAGTGAAAATATGGTTTGGTTGCGGAGAGGGATCAACTAGAGGAGCGCGTTAAACATCTCGAAGAAAATTTAACCTCTATCTAGAGAATCTTAATCAGTTGTGGAGGTTCAAACACTCGAAGCGAGGGTTCAATGGAAATTTGTTGCCTTCATAGCGGCTTCAATGGTGAAGGCAAAGCAACTGGACTTGCGTGAGTTAACACTTCAAGAAGCACTCAAAGATATCTCTAGAGATGTAGACGACATCGCCGATCAGCGCATGCATTTTTGCAGGGAAAAAAGTTATCTACAAAATGGGTTCATACGGTAGATCGGGTGGTTGTTTGTAGAAGGTAAAGTTGAATTCAATAATATATATTGAGATGCCATTACAGAATTTGTGTGATCTCCTTCGAGGTGGGCTGTTTATCTTTAGGGTAGTCATGCCGCATCGTCCTCGTCTCGAAAAGCTTTAGAATCCGAGCTTAAACCCCGTAAAAGATGCAGCGATGGAGTTGTTATTCAGATGAATTGGTGGTAAGATTAGTATTTCGATGGGAAAAGGCAGGCTACGCTTGCTGAATGTAATAAACCAAATTGAACGCAGACTCACGGCAAAGTTATAAAACTTTGTTTGAGTGTCCGGTATTATGCTTCTTTATCGCCAAAAGATCGAAAAAAATTCAATAAACCATGCTATGATGATCTCTATTTGATGTAAAAAGGTTCATGTGGTCTCCGAGTATGAGCAAATGACTTGAAATGGACGTTGTATTCGTGGGGAATTAAACGCAACAACTCAAGTGCACTAGTGCAAAGAGAAATAATAAGCTAAATGAAGAATCGTTGTACATACGAAAAGTAAACAAGGAATGTGTCCAGTATAGATCTTTATAGATATTTATGAGTGTGCAGCGTAGTATAAATGAGTTTGATTTCGCGTACGGGGAGCGATAGTATCGTTATTTATACGTGTAGTTTATTGTGCTTCTGGTTTAGTACTTCTAAATTGTGTCAAATTATTGTTTGTTCTGTTATACAACCCTATTTATTTATACTATCTGACAACTATTTGAATATCGATATGGTAGTCTTTAATATCTGCAAATGCCTCAGCTTAACCGAAGAAAACTATAGTTAACTCTCTATTTAACATTATCAGGTGCAATCATCTGTGTAAGTTTATCATTGATATGCATGGCTATACCTATATATATATATATATAGGTATATATTGAACATTATAAGTAACTATATTTTAGATTTATTGATTAGCTATATTATCCTGTAAATTTTTATCTACAGTTGCAGAGACGTTTTATTTATTAGATTTCATTTGCTATTTTTAGACCCCAATATTACAAGTAGTGAGCAGGCGTGATTGTTTGTCTTCTTTTTTCCGGTATTGACATTTACAAAAAGTCAGGGAACCTAATATTCTCGTTTTCCATTTATTGTGTAAGGGCGACAGAGATAGAGATGTCGCGCTTTGCTCAGGATGCGTTAGATATGATTCGATCTGCGGAACATGCCCTCTCCGGCGATCGTCAGACGGATTCATACACGATGGAAAAGATGGTATCGGCCGGAAAGCCTTTTATAGGGGACAAAGAGAACTACCGTCCATCAGTCTGGCACGTTTCTAATGCTCATGTTTCTCATTCCGATCCACTAAATTATGATTTGCTTCGTCAGCTTCAGCTAGTCCTCGGCGAGGTGTCCGTTTTGCGGTCCGAGTTAGCGGCAGAGCGTGATGCGCGCAACGAGTCGTTGATATCGCTCGGCAAGCGTTGGAAGGAGGAGGTGATGGTAGAGGTGCGTAGTGGCGACTACGCCCAGCAACGCGCTGTCTCTGCACTCGAGCATTCTATGTGCGACCGGCTGAAGAGTGAGGCTGTGAAGTTTGCCATCATGAAGCGTCAGTTGGAGGAAGTACTTCATATCGTGAAAGCACAAAGGGGTGCTGAGTTTGATTCTCTGGAGCAGATTCGGGAGGATCTGGAATCCATGCGAGGACATGTCGACATGTCAATTGCCCAGTGCGCCGCAATGCGCATTGAAGCAGTGCAAGAATTGGAGAAGGAGAAGGCGACCTTGTCGTCGCGCCTCGATATCGAGATGCTTCGTTGTGTTGACATGCACAACGAGGACGTAAAGCAGATTCAAATCCTCAAGGAGTACGTGAGGGAGGAAATGCGGAAGGCGGGTACCACTATCCGCGATCTCGTGCATCAGTCCTGGAGTTCTTTCGCTGCATCTCTGGAGCGCGACATGAGTGAATCCAAAACCACTTTTATGGACGAGCTGAAGCGTACAGGGGAGAGAGTGCGCTCGATGGAAGCCAAGATTGAGGATAGTGTGCGAACCAGCCAAGCAGAGATGCGCGTGCAGTCAACTATGCTGAAGGATCGCATCACAGCGTTGGAATCGAATGAGGCCGTGATCACTTCACGCATGGACCGTGCGGAGAAGAAGGCTGATGCCGCACATCACTGCACTGCTAGGATGGACGCCACGATGTTAGTTTCGAGGGAGATGGTCGAGAAAGCGATGAGCGTTTCGCAGCGTGCGGCAGAACGAGCGCAGCGGGTTGAGGACGTCCTGGTCGACCGCGACGCGCGTCTAGTGCAGGTCGAATCGCAGCTTCACCTTGCCACCACTGCGGGAAACCTCCAGACAGCAGTGGAGGCGTGTGCGAGGGGCTTGAATCACTTGGAAAGTCGTGTGAGCGGACTTAATGAAGTTTGCATGAGGTGCGAGAGCCTCGTTGAGACTTCGGGAGGTAAACTAGACGCTACCCTTGTGCGTTTATCGCAGTGCGAGAAAGTTGGCAACACCTCCAAAAATGCTATCCAGTGTATGATGGAAAGTCTACAGAGCATGGCTGACCGCCTAGTCATTGTGGAGGATACACGAGAGAGATTACAGGGAGCCGCAGATCAGCAAGAGCTTACATGTGTACGACTAGAGCACCGGCTCGACGCGAGCGAAAACCAAATGAAGCTTTTGGCTGAGAAGCATACCCAGTTCCAAAAGGAGCTACTCGCTCAACAGCATGAACTTAGTGCTCGTGTCGAGGAGTCATATGAGATCGCCTCTCGGTCTGAGTTCACCAGTGCAGCGGCTAAGGCGGGTGAGGAACGGTTAGAAAAACGCCTGATAAAGCTAGAGTCGAGTACGTTGGGATTTCTGGAACGACGCGACGCGGTGCAGGCGGAGGTGGTGGAGATTGCCAAAGAAATCGCTGCTATGCAGTCCCAGAGTGCACAAATCAAACAAAGAATTGATCATAATAATAACCGAACGGATAGTACTCTTGAAGCCCTTGAGCGCCTCGAAGCTGGCATCCTGAAGAGGTCAAACAAACTTGAAAAGGATGTGATGTCATGTCTAGAGCAGATGGCATCCCATACTGAAGAGGCAGTGAAGTATCTGGAGGCGGACCTGAGGGGTACCGTCCGACAGTACTCTGACGATATGAAGGAGCACATACGAAATGTAGTTAGCAAAGCCGAGGGCCGATACGAGAAGATCACTGAGGATTTTATAGACTTTCACCATCAGATAAAGGATGTAGTGCAGGGTGTTAGCGTGCTCGGCAAGTTATTAGATCATAATGAGGATCGATATGTTTCCAAAGCCGAGTTTGATTCTCTGTGTCGGAGCCTTGCCTCAAGCCAAGCGCAGCGGCGTGGGGAGCGTTTAAGGATGACGCGCGAGCTACGTGATACTAAACGGAGGATTGAAACGTGTGAGCGGAGGGTGAAGGTGCACTACCATGAGGTGAAGAGCCTCAAGGCTGAACTACAGGAGCTTGTGACTTATAGGGCAGATACAGAGCAGTACAATAAGCCGTTACACAGAATGGCCTCGCAGTATCACAGCCCGCTGAGCCCGACTGCAAGCTCAAACAAACCTATCACAACTTGTGCGGCCGTTGTCGCGTCACCACCACCTGTCGGAGGTGTCGGAACACCTGCAGGGGGAAACTCCGCCCCGATCGGCTGCCCAGCGCCCGACACAAACTCCTCAGGAGGCCTCATGCAGGATCTTTCCTTGATATCAGAACAACCTGTTGAGTTGAGTTCAAATTGCCCCTCATTTCAACCAGCAACCAAGGCATCAGCCACGTTTAGTGTGGAGGAGGATTTACCTCCCTCGTCGGGTCTCGTCCCCAGTGCGCCAGACAACTTTTTTCCGGTGGAATCTGTCTCTGAGCAGAAAAGCACCCTGTTTGTCTTACCCACGGGGGATAGTATCGTTCATGAGTGGAGTCCTGGGGAGGAAGCAATAGATGAGGCCGATAACACCCTACACTCCACCGACAGACCGTCTTTCATGGCGTCGAGCGCGAGGAATGGGGTTGCTCTGAGGAGTCCTCCAGCGGCGGGATCGGGTCCCGATGCCGTGGGGGGGGAGCCCATGGCGGATGACGTTGGGCGAGCCCGCCCTGAGACCCCGACCTCCCCTCATCCCGCCGCGTCTCCCCGCGACTGGGATACCGGCACGGACGACGACGACGAGAGTGGGGTGTCGGAAGGGACGCCGCAGGAGGCCGTTTTTGCCCCCGCCGACGAGGGGGGAGTGAGAATCAACTCAAATGCACCCCCCCCACCATCTCCCCCAGGGGATGTCGTGAGGCGTTACGCCTCCTTCGATGACAGTAGCTCTGATGACAACCCTTAGGGGAGCTCATCCGATACACCACGGTGGATTGAGTCCTGTAGGATTCTCCGTAGCTCTCCTCCATTTTCGAGGCTGTACTTGTCAACTTTTTCTTATCCAGTTAACCTCGAACATCGTTCTTTCTATTTCCCTCGACGAGGTTCATTTATATATTTAAATGTAATTTAATGAATAGAGCCATGTGAGGTAGTTTTGCTTGATGTACGATTCATACACACAGACTTTGGTTTGATGGAAAGATCATAGTGTGCTTTTTACCTGCTTTCCAGCTTGTATATTAAACTCTCATTTATATTCTTAGAAAGTTGCACTCAACTTTCTTATGTGATGATTATTAGTAATTGAATGAGTATGGAAGAACGGTGTATGTGGTGAGAATATGAAACGCACTGGAGTGATGACAAATTCATAGAAAATATTACAAGTAGAGTTTTTTTGACACAACCACACACAGAAAGGGAGGTCTGGCTGCTTATTCACCCATACATTGGGTTGTTAAGGTTAAGCAGGAGTAAGTTAATTGGTGAGTGTTTTAGAGCCTATGATTTTAGAAATCCCATACCGCTTACTATCTGATACTTCCACGATACGTCTTTTTTATTCTTAATTATCTATTTATAGATTTGGAGGTGATGAATAAACAGCAACGCGGAACTACATTCCCTAGGTCGCTGAGCGAATCCAAAGTGTTTAGCGTAGGAGAGGGAATGAAATCCTTAACTCACGCTTATTATACTTTTTTGCTTCAGATAGCAACAATGAAGAATAACATGATAGAGGCGCTTTGGATGTTTGTTTTGCTTGCTAATGAATTCGCTAGACATATTTTTGGAAATGTGCACATTTTTTTTTGTTTTACCTGCTGTCTTTTTCCGCGTACTTCTACTGGGGGTTAAAAAATAATTGAATAGTGTGCCTAAAATAGCGAGAAGGTTTCACTAACAGAAGTTAGTATAGATTCGTTCTGAAAGGCGGACCCGCAATATTACTTAGGAACGGATTTGAATCCAAAAGGGGTGAGTAAAGATAACGAGTTAGTCTGATAGAAGCAAATGGACTGGAGCACAACTGTAGGATGCTTTTTGCTTATTTTCGCTCCCTATATCATAGCTTTCTCTATGATGTGGAGACGGAACCCACAGCTGATGCCGATAGTGTTGTCGGGTGCATGCGCTGCAATACTCTCGCTTTTTATCGTTACTGTACTGTTCGAAGGTCTGAGGGCAATTTGTAGTTTGGCTTCGTGGACGTCGACACTCGCTGCAGTTGTGGTGTGCACGCAGGTGGTAGTACAGTTCCTCCTCAAGGTAGCCGTTTCCTGGGGATGGGTTGTAATACAGTATAGGCTTCGAAAGGAGAACCAGGTGCTTGTTTGGTCCGAATGCCGTTTTGCTCCCGTGTCGGGTGCGGTTGGCCTCGGTTTTGGGATGACCGCAACGTGGGCGACTGGCGGCGTGTTGTTCGACGCCTTTCGGCAGCTCCCTCACTTTAGTGAGCGCGCCGCGGCATACGACCTCGACGCCTGCCCGCAGCTCCCCCTTCTCGTGCACAGCAGCCTGCAGTGTGCGATGCTGACGTTATGTCATGTTTCATGGGGTATTATGACTGGCCAGCCTGCCGCGGCGCTTGCGCAGCAAGGCGTGCGATCGTACCTGAGGGGGCTGCGTAGGCGTTTGCGGCCGTTGTACGTCCCGATGCGTGCAGTCAACGTCGTCGACGTCACCCTCGAGGTCGATGGCGGCCTGCATGATGCCGAGCAATCTGAAAATGCGCGCGAGGATGCGGAGACGAATTTGGGCACCGAAGACTCCATGAGCGCCGTCGTAGCGGATGTCGCGGGAACAAAGTCAACGCCTGAGGCATTAACAACCGATCTACCGCCGCTGATGCGAGAGGAAGTAGAGGGCGGCCTACGGGATCGTGTGGAGTCCCAGGAAAGAGCCCCCACGATGAGGCCACGCGAAGGTGCACCAGCCCATCCCTTGAATGTTGGACTTAAGCAGACTGTGGCGGCGACCGTGGGGACCACTTCGGATGCTGCGACTGCAGCCAATCCATTTGAGAGTTCTCTTTATCGATACAACGGTATCATTCCGATGGATACGATCTTCTTATCACATCTCGACTTTGCCTTTTCAAGCCTTGTATCTGCTTTTATTCTACAGACAGTATTTTCGATGATGTCGATAGTGCATTCGGGAGCGCTGGATATCGCTACAGGAGCGGAGGTCACAACGCGTGGGTGTGTTGTGTCACTTCCAATTCAGCTTGTCGTGCTAACAGTATCTGTTTTGTGGGCGCTATGGACACTACGTGAGGAGAGGGTGAAGATTGACTGAAGCGACATATTTTTTGTTAATTGCGTTGCTTTTTAATATATATATATATATATATATATTGGTGATTTTAAATTATTCGTAGTTTGATACGGCCATGTTTAGCACGTTTAATCCATTATTTTTTTCGGATTGAGAGTCCTGCAGGCTGTTCTTCAAATTATTCTCAGATTAGGATCTACGGAAGGGTGGATTAGACAAGGGTAGGTATCCTAAAGCTGTGGTAACCCCCAAAATAGTAGTATTTCGTCATTCTTCTGTGAAACACACATTGACATGGGCTACTGCTTATTTAAATTGAGCAGAAAATCACTACAGGGGGTTTATACATCATCGTAGTTAACCAGGGGCGGCCTACTTTAGATGACTGAAAAGTCAAGGTATTTTTGGGGAAAAAAAATTCCACTTCCCCCCCCCCTCCTATTTTTTTTTTAATTGTACGATTTGTC